AGTCGACAATGGACAGACAAAGAGACAATTGCATTTTCTTGGACTTATTGATGTGATGACAGATATGTTCAAGAGGATAACCAATTAAGGTTATAAATGGCATCATATAAATACCAGTAGATAATGGAAGAGGCAGAGAGGCAGTGGGTTGGCTGGCAGGTCAATATACCATGCAGCGGTGGTGAGGAAGACGAATGGAGATTAGCATCATCTAAATAATCACATTCAGTTATACATGTCTTGGCTTTATAGTATTTGGCCTTTGGATTTATATGGTATTAGGACAATGGATGTCCTGGTTAATTGGAACCCTGATATTCTGCCAAATCAAGGGGTTACCACCGGTAGTGAAACATAGGCACTTGGTACCTAATATGTCTAAACCTGTGAAGGTTAGAACTTAGAACTTCTTCAACAACCAATGCTTGTCGTAAGAGACGATTAACAGGGGTAGTCAGGCTTGCTGACTTGGTTGACACATGTCCACATATCCCAGTTGCGTAGATCGATGCTCATGCTGTTGATCACTGGATTGTCTGGTCCAGACTCGATTATTTACAGGCCGCGGTCTTATAGCTGGAATATTGGCAGCATCAACAATTTCATTTCAGTTAGCAGCAAGACTTAGTGTACTCTGCTTAATGTCACAATATAACAGTCCATCTTATATATTTAGTACAGAGTGATGCTAGTGCCAATTCATTGAGATCATATGTTGGATCAATTTTTGTTTCTTGTTTGTTAAAAACATTCTGTTCCATTGCAATAGCCTTTTCGATTAATTGGTGGAGAAATGAACCACAGTGTTCAAGATTATCGCACTTACGTAGTGAAGTTCATGCAGTGTGAGTGGCCGCTCATACTAGTTGGTCGGAGTGAGTGAGTGAGTGAGCAAGCGAGCGAGTACGGTTTTATGCCGCTTTTAGCAATATTCTAGCAATATCACAGCAGGGGACACCAGAAAGGGGCTTCACACATTACATACCCATGTGGGGAATCAAACACTGGTCTTCGACGTGACGAGCAGACACTTAAACCATTAGGCTATCCTGCACCCCCATTTCATAGTGCTCGCCCACTCAATACATATTGCTTTAGTGAGACTTGAGCTGAACAGATCTTGTTTTTTGCCTCATAATGCTAAGCACCAGGCAGAACAAAATGTGCATCTTTAAATGTATTTTGGTATGACACAACAAGGGAATGAATATATGACATTTTGCTCTTCAAGCTGGTCACACTCCTCTATAATTACCCAGCACAATACATGTTGTTAGGAAAGTACACATTACAAGTTGATCAGGTTACAATGCTAAGAGTGCAGGTATTCAAGAGAAAGAATACACTTTGAAAGGCATAGCGTTTTATAGTGACCAAAAATATTATTTACTTCTCCTTTTAAAATGACAGTAATTACAGGTCCTCACCATATCGTAGAAACATCCATGCTGAGCTCAGTAGGGGAGTGACAGTATACCTAGGACAAAGTTTCCGTCAAGTGTAATGACTGGAGTACCAACACCTCTTGCCCTCTATGACAAATTAGTACAATCTGTGTTATTTAATGACAAACCAATACAAGTTTTCATTCCTTAATGACACACCAGTACAACCTGTCATTACTTAATGACACACCAGTAAAACCCGTCACTACTTAATGACACACCAGTACAACCTGCCATTACTTAATAAAACACCAGTACAACCTGTCATTACTTGATGACACAACGGCACAACCTGCCATTACTTAATGACACACCAGTACAACCTGTCATTACTTAATGACACACCAGTACAACCTGTCATTACTTAATGAGTAGAACCTGTCATCAGCACACAACCTGTCCTTGATGTCACAACCTGCCATTACTTAATGACACACCAAGTACAACTGTCATTACTTAATGACACACCTGTCAGTAATAACACCAATACATCCTGTCATTACTTAATGAACCTGTACAACCTGTTAGTACAATGATTGCTTAATGACAAATCAGCACAACCTGTCATTACTTAATGACACAACAGCTAGAGCAACCTGCCATTACTTGATGACACAACAGCACAAACTGTCATTACTTAATGACACAACAGTAGTACCTGTCATTACTTGATGACACAACAGCACAACCTGCCATTACTTGATGACACAACAGCACAAACTGTCATTACTTAATGACACAACAGTAGAACCTGTCATTACTTAATGACACACCAGTACAACCTGTCATTACTTGATGACACACTAGTACAACCTGCCATTACTTAATGACACACCAGTACAACTGTCATTACTTAATGACACATCAGCACAACCTGTCATTACTTAATAACACACCAATACATCCTGTCATTACTTAATGACACACCAATACAACCTGTCATTACTTAATGACACACCAGTACAACCTGTTATTAAAAGGAACATACTGCAGCTTAGTTGCTTCCAGCTACAATCTACCTTGCCTTCATTTCCATAGCAACGAATAATGCCGGCGAGGGGAGAGCGAGAGGTAGCAAGTGGCTCTGAGCGCGCTCAGTGAAGCCTTTCTTGCCACTCAATACACGGCCAATCACATATGGGAGAGTTATAGAGCTCAGTCTCATTCATTTCAGTCACTGACTTCTCCGGCATGATATTGTCATTCTTTGATTTGTAGAATTCTACCAAGATGGAGTATACACTCACCGCTAATGAGAGGAAAGAGAAAGATTAGACAAGGTAGGAGCTGTTTTTATCTGTGATTTTCTCAATTCAGTTTAGATGATGACACTGCCATATTGCAGTGATTTCTTGACAAGAAGGAAGAGCGGTAATATGGATTTATATTCAATAGCAGGAATTGATGCCGTTTGTCACTGACCATGGAATACTGACAATCATTATCATACAGCTTGCTGACACAGTATCAGAAAAGTGCCTGTTTTATTAATATATATCACTTAAGATGACACGTGGGTGGTTCATATAGTTCCTCAGGGAACACTTTTACTCCTGTTTTCACTTTCATTTCAGTGTTGGAATTTAAGGATTTTTCTGTTTTTGAGGTTTGCTAGAGTATTTTAGTGGAAATCTCTCAATCTTTCATGGTAACATTAGGGTTACGACAACGTCCACTTCACCTTCATGTCTGAGATTAAACTCTGCCGTCTAAAAAATAACATTCATACTTACTTTTGAAGTCTGTAGTCTTGAGAATGTGAAAATGTTTCAATTTCAATTCACAATTTTACAATGATAATATTTGGGTTATGGCAATGACCTCTTGACTTCAATGTCTGATTTTGAATTGGTACCCAGTTTATATAAGTTAAAACTGAAAACATACATACCTGATTGTCCGTCCCAATGCTAATATTAGCTTTATGACAACAACCTGTTGACTTTAATGTCTAACAGTGAACTACCCAGTATACCAACCTAAAAAAGGAAATATTCATACCTCATTGTCTTTAGTCTTGAGAATCTGGAAAAGTCTTAATTTCACTCCTGCAATTAAATTAAAATGCTAATATTAGTATTATGACAATGACCTCTTTAATGTCTGCAGCAGTTAAACAGAAAACATACATACCTAATTATCTGTGAGTATCTGTAGAAGAGTCACATGAATTGGAAAATGTTTTTCATTTAATTTTATGATTTGTCCTGAAATTCTTATGATTTATACAGGAAATGTTTTACTTGATGAGTTAATTCATTGTAAACTGTGTGACATTAGACTTCCCACACATTAAGTTTATTTTGCGTGACACATTTGAGACGTTGAGCTGTCTGTTCAACCCATCTCCATTACTGTCCACGGAGCAGCGATGGTACATTTGTTCTGTTATGACACAACACTGACAACGATGATGAGATCGTGGAGCCATCGGTGAAATATTGACGCGTGAGATGAGGTCATCCGAGCAGTTTGTTTGTCATACGAGAAACTGATACCAGGTCTATATTCTCCTGATGCTGTAGCGATAAAGTATTCATGAATTAATGATCTAATTTCCATCCCGGCATGCCTCATGTCAAACATCCAAGGTTTATTAATGACAATGACAGAAATTTGTGCTCCTGAATTGTGTAACATTCAATCAATCATTCACATATGGTGAGTGAGTGAGTTTGGTTTTTCACCGCTTTTAGCAGTATACCAGCAATATCACAGCAAGGGACACCAGAAATCGGCTTCACATGTGGGGAATCGAACCCGGGACTTTGGCATGATGACTAAACGCTTTAACCACTAGGCTACCCCACCACCCTCAATCACATATAGATCCCATTGCCATGAGTGAAAATATATCCGTTGGGTATTCTGGACAAAAGTTGGTCCCGTCCCAAATAACCTATGATGGTCAAGTGGTGGTCAGGCTTGGTAATAAAGCTGATGGGATGTCATTAGACCATGAGATAGTAGATACTTATGCACAATATCAATGAATGGATTGTCTTGCCTAGATTTGATCATTCACTGGCCAATGTTATATAGCTGGAATATTGTTGGAATATTGTTCAGACTGCATTGTTAAAAAGAACACAATAATTCTTGAACTAGAATTAATCAATGTCCTAATCAGGGTTTTACATGACGCGTGATTCCTGCATATCTGACACAACAATTTTGTTAATGTAGCGGACATAAAATTTCTGAGTCCCGTGCTGGGATTCGAACCATGAACCTTCTATTCCGAAGTCGGACGCCTTGTCCACATGACCAAAGAGGTTAACCCCGTCAGCAAGCTGACAAGGTAAGGACGCCCTGCTACATTAACGACTCTCAAAATACTATCATACGAGTCAAGCTTGACGCAAGTTTTATAGGTGGCCCTCACAATTCAGTTCAATAAAATCGATTTGATAAGCAAAAAATTACATTGTTCGATGATAGTTTGACTTTTACAGAGCTGTCAGATTGTTCCAGAGAACTCAGACGAGACAATAATCCTGGCTGTTTGAATTGAACAATGCTGTAGTTGCATTTGGTGGTGTGACATACACAGTTACATACTGAGAATGATTAACACAAAGAAATATTAAATTTTCATGACTCACAAATATTGAAAATGACTCCCAAAAATAAATATTGTGAGTCGCCATGACTCCCATTTTTAAAAGACTGTGTAAAACCCTGCCTAATCCAGTGTCAAGTGTTTAAAATGTCAGGTGACACACACCACCACCACCACACACACATGCACAGAATCACATACACATCTAGACACATCACATGCATACACAGCACACACACACACACACACACACACGATACAAAGATAGACAGGTAGATGCATGCACAGGCACAGACACAGACCACCCCCAACAAACACAGAGAATCACTTACACATATTGACACACACACACACACACACACACACACACACACACACACACACACACACACACACACAGATAGACACACAAGGCAATCATACGGTGACACACAGACTACCCCACCACACACAGACACATGCATACACACACACAATACAGATAGACACACAAGGCAATCATACGGTGACACACACACAGACTACCCCACCACAAACACACACATGCACACACACTGACACACACACACCCTGTACAGAATGTCATCAGTAAATCAGGGTATCCTGCTCCTAATGTCAGCTATGTCATCAGTAAATCAGGGTATCAGATCCTGCTCCTAATGTCAGCTATTACTTGTAATGAACAAAGGAGACTAATGATCGTCTCTGATGCTGCTTTCAATACCATAAGCTGTAATCGGGGCATCACCATGGAAACAAGCTATCTATGCATACAGGCTTAAGACTTCAGATCCTTGACTTTATTAAAGTTAATGGAAATTTGAGGATGTGTTTGTAACCTGCAAGTTGTTCTACCATATTTGTCATAATAAACCACTGCTCCGCTAAGCACCTATTGACCATTTTCCAGACCAGTCAATAAGTAATATCTATAAGTGCCCCCTACAACACTGCTTGATGTGTCTATGTTCTCATGTACGTATTATAGCAGAGAAGGAGAACATCATTTCCAAGTAATTATTATAAAAATTCAAACATTCCCCTTTGTCAATTTTCATTTTGCATTGGGCAACTTTTTTACGACAAATATGGTAATGTATGAAACTTGAGTGAACCATATCTTAACTATGATTATTAAAGCCATAGTACATCAGGCAAAACAATAACATCCCTCCCAACAAGGAAAACCAAGTTCTATGGATCGTCAACTTCTTTATTGCAATGAGTACGACATTGTGGTGTAGGTACTAACACCGTTATCAACACCCTCCAAACAAGTGAACCCTTTTTGACACATAACTGATCTTTGTGTATTATTCATTATGGCTTAAGTACAGTGTATGAAATAAGGCCCGTCCGACCACCCAAGACGGGCTAGAATTTGTACAGATTGTCTAAATTTACAGCTAGCCAGCCTGATGGTCTGGTAATTCTTTTTATTTTAGATAACATGTTCCATACACCTGAGTAAATTCACCATATCTTATAATATATTTTTCAAATTGAGTCGGATTTCTCTGAAAATGACTGTTGTGAAAAGACCGTTAGACAGTAAATACATGTCTCAGGTTCATTAAATTATTAATTGTAACTAAAAATTTAGTTATTTTCTTTGGATTGTCTGGTCTGGTTAAAGCCATTTTGGGCTGATAACTTTTAGAAGTTACCCGCCCTGATGTCTGGCTGGGTTTTGGGCCTATTTCATACACTGTTATTTCAAATCCTATCAGTTGATTATTATATTAAGAGAAAAGTCAAGTGAAACCCCAAAACTACATCCGTTTATTCAAAAGCTGAAAAGAAACTGACATATTCTGATTTTTTCAAATGATACAAGAATCCAAAAGTATGTGTGTTTATCTAAAAGCTGAAATTAACCAGAGTGAATGAGTTTTTAGCAATATCACGGCAGGGGACACCAGAAAAGGGCTTCACACATTGTACCCATGTGGGGAATCGAACCCAGGTCTTGGGTGTGACGAGTGAATACTTTAACCACTAGGCTATCCAAGCACCCGAAAGTAATCAGAAATTTTCTTAATTTTATTTTACAAAAATTAGAAGGGTTCATATAAATCTAGTTCTCTGACCATGACATGTCTGAAGAATGTCAAGAACTCAGCCGAATCCCAAGACATGTCAGTTTATGCAACTTTACAAGAGAGGACCTGCCAGGAATCAATAAAAGATATAAATGACTCGAGTGTTTCAATCAGGGAAATGCAGCCTGTAGATTAAAACTGACCATTTCAAGCTATTTACAAAGCTGTTAGCTAAAAGCTGCTGGAATGTTGAATTACAAGAGTAACTTCTGTGAAAAACACAAAACACATGTGAAGGTGGGTTAATATTTAGGTGGGTTGGGGTGTAAAGGTGTGTTAATGAATAGGTGGGTTGTGTTGTGAAGGTGTGTTAATGAATAGGTGGGTTGTGTTGTGAAGGTGTGTTAATGAATAGGTGGGTTGTGTTGTGAAGGTGTGTTAATGAATAGGTGGGTTGTGTTGTGAAGGTGTGTTAATGAATAGGTGGGCTGGGTTGTGAAGGTGTGTTAATCAATGGGTGGGTTGGGGTGTGAAGGTTGGTTGATAAATAGTTGGGTTGGGGTGTGAAGGTGGGTTAATAATTAGGTGGGTTGGGGTTAATAATTAGGTGGGTTGTGTTGTGAAGGTGTGTTAATGAATAGGTGGGTTGTGTTGTGAAGGTGTGTTAATGAATGGCTGGGTTGGGGTGTGAAGGTGGGTTAATAAATAGGTGGGTTGGGGTGTGAAGGTGGGTTAATAAATGGGTGGGTTGGGGTGTGAAGGTGGGTTAATAAATAGGTGGGTTGGGGTGTGAAGGTGGGTTAATGAATAGGTGGGTTGGGGTGTGAAGGTGGGTTAATGAATAGGTGGGTTGGGGTGTGAAGGTGTGTTAATAAATAGGTGGGTTGGGGTGTGAAGGTGGGTTAATAATAAGGTGAGTTGGAGTGTGAAGGTGTGTTAATGAATGGGTGGGTTGGTGTGTGAAGGTGGGTCCATAAATAGGTGGGTTGGGGTGTGAAGATGGGTTAATAAATAACGGGCTGATGGGTACAATGTGTGTTCCCTGCCGAGATGTTCCTGAAAAATTGCCTAAAGCGATATAAAATCATACTCACTCACTCACTCACTTTGTTCAGACATTTTGACAGAGAGTAAACATTTCTTTATGTGACATTTTTGGGCCAGAGCTGATGCTAACATTTAACATGTATCCAACATTGAAAACAAACACTGTTGTCAACCAATGCTGTAATACTTGACAAAAGCACAGGTGAGTCTGTGATTTTAATCAGGGCTTGTTAGCGAGGATAAGAGGTGAGAAAACATAATCATCACGTCCTGATATTGGATTTGCCTGTAGACAATTTTCATTATTACTACCTGGCTATTGCTAAAGACGTAAATAAAGCTTTACTGACGTCATACCTGCCATTTGGACTAACGATCAGGTGAAACTGACAGGTTAGAGTTACAGCTTGAGTTACCTTAACAGTTACCATAATTGGGGTTCAAGGCTTTGTATCTTGACGCTTGTGAAAATGACAGGACAGCTATTTACATCATAGCTTGTACAACATCAGACCAGGAAAGGCAGTGGTTACCGTCATGAGCAACAATACATGCAGGTGGTGTATGATGACATACAATCAGTCAGGTTGTAGTTAACAACCACTAAATCCAGTTGCCCCTATATAGGCATCATTTTTTTTTTTTATGTGTTTCACGTAGCCACCAAAAAACCTTAATAAGGCCAGACCAATTTTATTTCTTGTTTTACGGATCTGCCGGTCACATTTTTTCATGAATATAAAAAAGAATTTAATTTGCTCCGCTCAAAAAATAAAATCCTAGTGTTTTTATTGGCCAAAAATGAAAACTTACAAAAAAAGTTTTGGGAGATTGTATTTTGCCCCATGTAAACTTCATAAAATGCCAAAAGTAAAATACTTTTAGTATTTAGAAGGAATATTACTTTGACAGGTGGTTTTATTTTTATTTATTTTCCCTCCTGCCTTTAGGTTTTCTGAGGACAAAAATATGTTAAACAAGAAATAAAATTGGTCTGGCGTAAAGACAAAATCTGAATAATGTTCTTGATTCTCATTTATTGCAATTCTCATTACAATTTCTTGCATTCTTTAGACATGTGGCAGCGTCTGATTAAAAGATAAAGATTTTATATGATGAGGCGGTAAGTTTTATGTCTGAGTCGGCAGTGATGGAATGAAAAAAAAGAAAGTTTTTTGTGGATCAGCAATAAAATTAGAAGGGTCGGTCGGGCAATGAGAAACACAAAGAATAACAAGTGTTTGCCACTGATGTGGCCGCTAAAGAATGGAATATCTATAACATATTTACTACTTTTTATTTTTAGGTTACATACAAGATGCCTGAAATAACTGGTGTCTGCATAATCACCCAATGTAGGCTGCCAACATAATTGAAAACATTGGGTGGAATGTTTTATGAGATATCACATTTAAATAAGTTTGAAAAGTGGTCAAAGTGTCGTGGTGACCTTGAAAATAAGGTCAAGGTCACCCAAATCAACTACTGTCTGTGTAATCCCCCAATGTAGGCTGTCACCAAATTTGAAGACATTGGGGACAACAGTTCGTGGAGATATCTCATTAACAAGAGTTTGGAAAGTGGTCAAAGTGTCGTGGTGACCTTGAAAATAAGGTCGAGGTCATCCATATTGACTGGTGTATGGGTAATCCCCCAATGTAGACTGTCACCAACTTTGAAGACATTGGGTACAACAGTTCATGAGATATCGCGTTAACAAGAATTGGGGCGGACGCCGCTAAATACATAGTCCCCCGTTCTGCGTTGTGGCAGGGACAAAAGTACTGCCCTATAACAACCTATATGGGGTACGTAGGACATATTTAGCCCAATACAGGGGCTGTAGACAAAACGAGTGACAATGATTACTATCTTTATCACTATTCAGTCATGTGACACTGATTAAATTTTCCATTGTTATTCTAACATTCATCCATGAAAAATATGGAATCAATAACTGAATATGATACATTATTTCTAAAAGAGAAACATTAATGTGAAATAATGGATTTTACAGACTGGTGGATTATGTTT